AGGGCATGGCCTACCTGCATGGGCAGCACTACATCCACCGGGACCTGGCTGCGCGCAACGTGCTGCTCGACAACGACAGGCTCGTGAAGATCGGGGACTTTGGCCTCGCCAAGGCCGTGCCTGAAGGCCATGAGTACTACCGCGTGCGCGAGGACGGGGACAGTCCCGTGTTCTGGTGACCAGGCAGGGCGCAGCCTGATGGGTGGGGGTGTCCCAGTGTCACTTGGAAAGGGCAAGATGAAGGAGAGGGACGCCCCGTGTCAGGGTTCAGGCTTAGTGCGGCCCAGAGATGTGGGGAGGGGTCAGTCTGAGGGCGGGACCGAGATCTTCACCTCTCCGCTGTGCCCTTGAGGATGGGATCCCGGATGGGACTAGAGGGGCCCTTCAGTCCCAGGTATGGGCTCCAGCCTGGCCTGACCCCCTCACCCAGAATCCAGCCCCCAGACCTGAGCGCCCCCTTTCCCCAGGTACGCCCCCGAGTGCCTCAAGGAGTGTAAGTTCTACTACGCGTCCGATGTCTGGTCCTTCGGTGTCACGCTCTATGAGCTGCTGACGCACTGTGACTCCAGCCAGAGCCCCCCGTCGGTGAGAACCAGGCCCACACCCTGCCCCGGGATTCGCTGGGGGAGTAGAAAGTCGCACATTCAGAACCCAGCCCTCCACCCGAGCGATCCTTTTACCCACTGGGGTCTCACAATCCAGATATGGCAGACGGGTCCCTTTCAGAGTAGGGGGCTTTTTGGGGGGAAGGGGTACTGGGGATTGAAACCCAACGCCTGAACACTGAGTCACGCCTCCAGTACTTTTGTTTTTACTTTAATCTTTTGTTTGGGTTTGTTGGTACAGGGGGTCAAACTGAGGACCTTGTGCTTTCAAGCAGGGGGTAGTACCACTGAGCTGAATCCCCAGGCCTGTTTTTACTTCAAGACAGGTCTAAGTAAATTGCCCAGATAGGCTCAGCCTTGCGTTTCTCCTGCCTCAACTTCCCAAAATGCTGGGGGTGACAAGCATGTGCCACCAGTCTAGTTTGAAACAGGGCTCTAATTGTAACCAACACTGTCCTAATGGTAAGGGTACCAAGGGTCTTCTTTTACGCCTCCCATAAACCCCAGAACTTTCTCTGATAGGCCAAACTTGGCTCATGTATCCACCTTATAGCCAATCACTGTTTAGCCATGGGCCTCAATGATTGGCCAGGCTGAGCTGGGGGCGGAGCTAGGCAAGTTGCCTGTAAAGAAGAAAATTCTGAGCCTTCTGTAAGGGATTGTTCTGAGACTCCAGCTACTCCCAAAGCTGAGACAGGAGGATTGCTTGAGTCTAGGAGTTCAAGATCAATCTGGGCAATGTAGTAAAACCTTATTTCAAAAAATTAATGACAAACTGGGCATGATGGCTCATGCCTATAATTGCAGCACTCGGGAGGCTGAGGCAGGAGTATCGCTGCAAGCTTGAGGCTGGCCTGTGCTACATAGTGAGTTCAAGGCCAGCCTGAACTACATAGCAAGATCTTGCCACCCAAAAATATATTTTTTTTAAGTTTTGCGGACAGGTTAAACCAACTTCCTGAGACACTTACTAACAACCGTGATTGAGGCTTACTCTAGAAATACTCTCACTGTGTAGTTGAGACTGACCTGGAACTCACTATGTAGCCCAGGCTGGTCTCGAACTCACAGCGATCCTCCTGCCTCAGCCTCCCAAGTGCTGGGATTACAGGCGTGCGCCACCATGCCC